CCATTGGAAAAAGTTTTGTGCCCACAGAAACTTAATCTTTAGAAGGTCCCATTAATTGATGTTATCCTCTCCTGGTTATTATTCATTTCTGGCTGTATCCTTTCCAGGTTGTTCATGACTGGTTTTTGCCAGTTTAGGCTTCTAAGTTTGGTCCCATTTTGTCTCTTATGATCTTTATGGTCTTGGGCTTTACTCCCACATCTCTTATCCACATTGAGTTGATTTTTGTGTATAGTGTGAGATGTGGATCCTGCTTCAGCTTTCTGCAGGTAAAAGTCCAGTTTTGCCAGCACGATTTGTTAAGGAGTTGTCGTTTCCTCATTTGATAGGTTTTGTTTACTTGTCAAATACCAGTTGACCATAGGTAGATGGATTAATTTCTGGGTTCTAAATTCTGTTCCATTGGACTATGAATCTGCCATTGTATCAGTAGTGTGCTGTTTTCATTATTACAACTGTGTAGTAGGTTTTGAAGTGAGCTCTGGTGGCCTACTGGAAAGAAGCTATGCTGCAATACCAAAGGCACATGGTTCAAGGCCACCAGCAGCTCCATGGGAGAAGACTAGGCAGTCTTCTTCTGTGCAATTAACTGCATCTGAAAACCTGCTGGAGAGTCAGCTATGGGTTGGTTCCATCTCCAAGGTACACAACAACAGTAGGTTTTGAGATTAGGGAGAGTTATGTCTCTCATTTCATTTTTGCTTCTTAGAAGTGCTTTGCTTATTTGTGGTCTCTTTCCTTTCCAAACAAACTTGCCAATTGCCTATCTCTTTGAAAAAGGAATTTTGTATCTATATTGGGATTACATGAAGCATATAGATTGCTCTTTGTAGGATTAACATTTTCACTGTATTTAGTCTTCCTAACCATGAGACTCTTATCACTGGACTGATAGGCGGTGTCATAATGGATGGAGAGAGGATTGAAACTGTCAGCAGCTTCATTTTGCTTGGATACACAGATAACACCTTGGTACCAGCAGTCAGAAAATAAGGAGACATATTGCACTGAAAAATCAACAGTTAGGGACCTTTCCAAACTAATGAGGAGTAGTGATGTCAGTTTGAAGACTAAGGTGTATTTGATTCAGGCTATAGGCTTTCCAATTAGTAGCTGTGCATCCAAGAGCTGGAGAGTGAATAAAGATGACAGAAGAAAATTTGACACCTTTGAGCTGTGGTGTTGGAGAAGAGCACTGAACATTCCATGGACAGCAAAGAGAATAAACAGCTATGTCTTGGAGAGGGTACAGCTGGAGTGCTCTTTGGAGGCAGGAATGATGAGGCTTCACCTCACATACTTTGTACATGTTGCAAGGAGATGTTACTCCTTGAAGAAGGACATTGATGCTGGGAAGGGTGGAGGGTCAGTGAAGGAGAGGTAGACCCTTAGCCACATGGATTGACATAGTGACTGTTACAGTGGACTCTTGTGTGTCAGGAAGTGTGAGAATGGTGCAGGATAGAACAGGGTTCAGATCTTTTGTTCATAGGGTCACTGTGAGTCATGCTCATCTCTGTGGCAACTAACAACAATAACAACAAAACAATATCAACAACAACAGCACCCATGATCAGGGAACATTTTTCCATTTACTTATTTCTTTTCCTGTTTCCCACAGTAGTGTTTTGTAGTTTTCTTTATAGAGGACATTTATGTCTCTATTTAGAATTATTCGCCAGTATCTGAATTTGTGGTTGGCTATTATAAATGATACTGATTTCTTAGTTTCCTAATGCGTGTTTTCTTTGTTACTGTGGAGGAATACCACTGATTTTTGTATGTTGATCTTGTATCCCACCACTCTACTAGTCTATGCGAACAGTGGTGGGGTTTGGGCTTTTTAAGTCTTTGGGATTTTCTGTGTACACTATCATGTCATTGGCACATAGCAGTGGATTTTTTCTGATTTGGATGCCTCTTATTTCCTTCTCTTATCATATTGCCCTTGTAATTATTTCTAATACAGTTCTGAATAGGAGTGTTAAAAGTGGGCCTCCTTGTCTGGCCCCTATAACAGAGTATATTTTAACCTTCTGTTAAATTTACCATCAGCCCTATTAAACACACTAATAAGGGCACAACATTTTTAACAATAATGTTTGGAGAAAGCTTTGATTTGTGTTGCATAATGCACAGTGTAGGTCATGAATTTTATGTTCACAAAACTTTGCATCATTTTATGTGAAATTACATGTATTCACTCTCATTACTGTCACATTGGAAAACACTCATCATTGACCGTCCATTGGGTTTCTGAGGCTGTAAATCACGTGAGAGGAGATTGCCCATCTTTCTCCCTCAGGACCACAGGTGGACATGACCCTCCAGAGGAGCTAAAGGTTAGCAATGCTACTCCCTGTGAGCAGCGCCACCAGAGCTGTCTCTGAGGTGCCATCAGATCGACCATGATACAAGCATCCCTGCTCATAACAGACTGGAAGCTGACCCTGTTCTGTCCTGTGCCGTTCTCATGCTCTCTGCCATACTCAAGCCACTGCTGAGGCCACTGTGTCAGTTCCTTATGTATCATTGGGACAATAACATTTCTTTATAATACTGAGGTGAAAACTTAATGTGATTGTGTGTGTGTATATATGTATTTATTTATATTGGGTGGAACAATTACTGGTACATAATAATTGTAATATTAGCAAACATTTATAACTTAATGAATGTCAGGTACTGATTAATTATTCATATTAGCTCATTTAATCCTCATAACATTTCTGTGAGATTATTAACCCCGTTTCAGAAATTAACTGAGGTACCAAACCCCCAACCCCACCCTGTCCCTGCTAATAAAACCTCTCACTTCTACCGAATCAGTTCCAACTCAAGGACTCTCTAGGGCTCCGGCATTTCCAAGGTTACACAAATCTTTACAGAAACAGATTACCTCATCTTTCTTCTTCAGAGAAACTTTTGGGTTTAAAACAGCACCTCGTGGTTAGTTGTTATTGTTAGGTGTTGTTGAGGCAGAACTGACTCATAGCTGACCCACCAGCAGGTTTTCAGAAGCTGTACGTTGCATGGAATGAGATTGCCCATCTTTCTTCTATGGCGTAGGTGGTAGATGTGAATCATGTGCCTTTTTGTTGCCAGCACAGCTCCTTAGTGCCAGGCCACCAGAGCTCCCTTTTGATTAACAGCCAGATGCTTTTAACAACACTGATACCAGAGCTCCTAACAGAGAAGTTAAATCCATTGCTCAGGTTCACACAGTCAATGACTTTAATAACAGCTCACACTGTTAACATCTATGCTACACTGACTCTCCTCCGAAGCTCAGTACCAAAGTTCCTAATGCCAAAGTTAGTGTCTCCTCCCAAATCCCTTTGACCTTGTGGGCTCCATCTCACATTCTCAAGTGTGTGACATACCAGCCTAACTTGAACTCTACCAGATTCAACCACTCAAAGTGCTAAGTGACGATCCTGGGAATTTGGATGTGTCACGGTGTCAAGGATTGCATTTTATGTTCTTATCTACTCATGGGAGTTCTCATGGGTAGAGAGTTATGCTGCCAAGCCACAGATGAGCAGTTCAGTGTCTTCCCATGCCACTTACAGCCTCTGAAAACCCAGCGGAGGGCCAGCTGTGTATAGGTTCCAACTTGATGGCAGTGAGAGAGAGAGAGAATGAGTGAGTGAGTGAGTGAGTGACCTGCTCGCCATTCCCTTTACAAAGCTGAGGTTTACCAGATCCTGGTGATTATCTGATAGGGAGCAGTGGCTTCATATTTATAACCATATTTCTTAGAATTCCAGTGAATGAAATGTCTTTATCCTCCTTACCTTGTTATATCTTGTTCTCTCCCTTCTACTGAATATTTAAGTAAGCTTAGTCCTCTATTACTGAATGGTTACATTTGCCCAAAATTCATCCTACCAGTTCTTTTATTTTACTCATTCCTTGCTGAGTCTGTTAAATTATCTTTTAGCTACTGAAGAAGTAGGAAATTAGCAGAGGGATGGATAGGAAAAATTCCTTCCAAGCAGGCTTCTTAAACCATTTAATGCACAAAGGAATCACCTTGGGATCTTGTTAAAATGCACTTTCAGATTCAGCATGTCTGGGCCAGGCCTGAGATTCTGAAAGTCTGTGAGTTCCAGGTGATGATGTCAGAGCTCTTATTCTGCAGACCATATTGTGAATAAGAAGTTCTTAAATACTAGAGACTACATAGACCATTTACAGACACATGTAATCCCAAGAAATGACTGTTCATGGAATTTAGTTGATGTGACTGTCTGCTAGAAGAAACTGTACCATTTCAAACTTTTACTTCTAGACCCTGTTTACTAGCATGGTCAATCCTGATCTGAAAGCATAGATAGTCCTCTGTCTACCTGGCAGCCAACCTTTGATATGTTGTTGCTGTGTGCCATTGAATCTGAACTGATTCATAGCTGGCCCTCCACTTGGTTTGCAGAGACTATAAATTGCACAGGAAGATTGTCCATCTTTTCTCCATCATGTAGCTGATAGATTTGAACTGTCTGTCTTTGGACTAGCAGCTCAACTCCTTACCCATTAGGCTACCAGAGCTCCAGTACAGCCTTTGATAAAGGCAGTGTAAAAACAGACATTTTCCTCCCCCAGTTTAACCTTAGGTGACTGTCTATTGATTTAACTTTCACTTTAACTTATGAGAAATATTATGTTGCTTGCTGCTGCTCAAGGTTGAGTTACAGTTTAGGAAACACAGGATTCAACTTCTCCTGGTGGAAGGGCTACATTTCAAGATCTGTTTCTTTGTTCCTTTCACGTCACCTACATAAAAGGAAACTTAGGTCAACTTTTCTTTTCCTGCCTTTTGATCTGGAGTCAGCTCACTGGCTGTGTCTATGAATAATTCTGTTTGAAATGGCGTGGTAATGCTGATGTGAATAATGAAATTCTGTACAAGGTTTTCTATGTGGAGGTGGAGTCTGAGGAGCAGCCTGTAAAACAATGTGCCTGAGTGTGTTTGTGATGTTCTCTGTTTACATTTTCAGGGAGGGGAACACTGTTACTACCAGGGCCGTATCCGGGGAAGCCCTTCCTCATTTGTGGCTTTGTCAACATGCCATGGACTTCAGTAAGTGTTAAAAAGAATTTAATTATTATTTCAGTATCTACTATTGATTTTATAATGCACTGTAATTTAAATACATATCATATGTCCCTAGAAAGAACTTCAGATCTCTGATTTATGTAATTTTTTTCTTTTTTAAGTGGTTTATAAACCAAGAAGACATTTAAATTAAATTATTTAGCCCAATTTTGAACTTTGGAATTATATGCAATATAATACTCTGTAGAGATGTATTTTGAGGGTTTTTGGCTCAAGCTTTATCCAAGTTCAGAGATGCATGGTTTGGAAACTTTGGGGTTGGTGTTTTGTTGGGTGTTTAGTTCTTTGTTACTCATTCCTTTGTTACTCTTCCTCTTTCTAGATGTTAACTTTCATGTTTTCTTGTAATAATAGAAATTTTAATAGATGGAAATGCTCAGCTCCTTTCCTCCAAAGAGAAAATGTTGCAAGTGAGTGCTAGAGCTCTTCTTCTTCAGCTCTTTTTTGAGTCCAAATTACACATAACTCACATCAAAGTCCTGGGAGGATCCCTTCTGTTCTCAGACGTCTCCGAAGAATGGGATTCTTCATCCCTCCGTGGGGCCTTGCCCCCTTTCCCATAACCTCTGCTATCAAAGAATGCTTGCTGATGTTTAACCAGGACTCCATCGACTTCCTCTGTCCTTTCGAGGATGGTGATAAACAGGGGCCAACTTATTTGCTTTATAACCCCCTTAAAACTACGGTGTCATTCCTCAGCATCCTAGTTTTACTAAATCTTCTATCATCCTTTTTGCTTGTTTTACAGAACAAGCAGGTATTTGAATGTAGTTTTCTTAGTTCTGGTTTGGTAACTGATAGCATTTCTTTTTGCTGCCAAGTTAGAGATGTAACTCGTTCATCTCACAGTGGCTACAGAGTGTTCTCTGTGTGCCAGTCACTGGGAATATTAAAGTGATTAAGCATGAACATTGCTCTCAAGCAGCTCACAATCTAGTGGGAATACCAAATCCACTCCAAGGAATGGAGTTAGTGTATTTTCTTTTCTTCGAAAAAAGCTGATGTGTGGGAGAGTACAAGCTTCCTTTGGATGTAGGAATGAGGTAGAATTTGGGGCCTCCGAAGAAGTGACATCTGAAGAAGGTGCAACAGGTCCCTGAGCAACTCTTGATGGCATCTCCCAAGGGAAGGGGGGTAGTTATCCTAACAGATCTGAAGGCAATGGAAGGAAAATATCTAATGGAGAAGGCTGTGAATTAGCTGTTGGTGGTGGTGTATACTGTTGAGTCAGAACCGACTCAGAGCTGACTCTCAATGGGTTTTCAGAGGCAGTAGATCACGTGCGAGGAGACTGCCCATCTTCCTCGCCGTCTGGGTAGGCTGTAAAGGAAGCTGCATGGAGAGCAGAAAGCCTGGAGTGAGAGAGCAATTAAACGGACAGACATAGACGACTTCTGTTTGCTTCCTATTTCTTAAAACTGGCAATATTACTTTAAGTAAACTCTTTACATAAAGAAAACAAAATCAGGCTTATTATTTGAGACCTTCAAGTTTCTGATCTGGAAAAAAAAATATTAAAGTCCTATTTAACAGTAATATTATATGTCTGATCTCAGCCCAGTTCAGCTGTCAGCTTCACTTAGTGCAGCTGGGCCTCTGGACATTTGTAGGGCAATCTTAATGCAAGGGAAAGCAATATTTTTAAAATAGAATTGTCATTTTCTCTTTCTCTCTTTGGACTGTGATTCAACCCAAAGTAGAATTGTAAGCAACTTCCTTAGAGCTTATTGGAATTTACCACTTAGTCTAAATGGACACAATGATGGGACAACCAATAGTTTTTGTCACCTTCTCAGTTCTGTGTACATAAGGTCATCATGAATCAGAGCTGATCTGACAGCACCTACAACAATGAGGCTCTAAGAATAGAACTGAGAACCCAAGACTGAATACGTTGATACTGATTCTCCAACTTAAAGGAGGATGGAAAAATAATATTGAGGAAATCTTAGAGTAACTAGATCAGGAGGCAGAACCCAGAAGGCTGTCTGAGTTGTTTTGACTGAGGGTGATTTACTTCTAACTCTCCATCTAAAATGAAACAAAAGTTACTAGAAACCACACTGCTTCTATTTAGGAATTCTGTGTTTCTGTTGAAGAATACTGTGCGCTTAGGAATACTATAAGGATGTGGACAAACATATAGGCTTTCTTTAGACTTATCAAACATATTCTGTGTGTATATATTTATATATATACATACATACATATATATCTATTCTTTTTTACTTACTAATTATGCTTTTAAATCTTGATTTTACCTTCTAAATTGTTAAAAATTATTGATGGATTTTTTATGTATTGTTAAATATTAGTCATTTATGTTGTTTCTGTTGAAGTAGCTTAAATACAAAATATATTCTTTTATCCATTACTTATTCGTTATAAATAACCAAGAACATATTAAGATTTGTCATGTCTTGGTTTACAGAATTCAGTTGAGAAAAATAATCAGGTTCCTCTATCTTTCAGCAGAGAACCTTTAAGGGTGCATATTTTGATTATGAAGAATCAAATATTTTTGGTATTTTGCTCCTGCTGCAGTGATTGATTATGTTTGACGTTTCCTGTAACTATGGGAACCTTAAAAAATGTAACCAGGCGTGAATTTATTGCCCCCTTGTGGTGACTTGTAAGAAAGGCTATTTTTTTAAAAAAGGGGTTTTGATGCAGTAATTTTTATTTTATTTCACTTGACTTGTAATGAATAGCTCAGGCCTAGATATAGATTATTGGAATATACATATGTTCTGGGCTAAGGATACTTATTGATATTTATGAAAAACATCAATATTGGAAAAGAGCAAATAAAATACGTGTTTTTTTGTAATTTTTAAAAATTTTAATAATTTTAATGAACATTTACAGAGATTTTGGATTTCCATTCATTCAATTGGTAGGGACTCACTGACATATTGTACAGAGAAATAATTTTCTGTTTTCTGCCAGCATCATCTTCTTTTATTCTCTGTATCTTAGCATTTAAGCACAAAAGCAACTTCTCACTAGACACTAGCCTAACATAAGGGTAAATACACTCAGTGCTATGTAAACAAAAAGCTTGCTTGCTACATTGCTGTGTGAGCTTTGGAAAGGACAATCATTTAGTCATTTGCTCAGTGAATCTGGCCAGCTCTCTTCAGGGAGGAGTAGTATGGCCACTCCCATGACTAGTCTTGTTTAGGACAGGTTCCCTTCTCTAATTGCTTAGGTGTGTATATTGCCTGTGGTTTTTTTCCAAACTACTTCTGTTTATCTTTAAATTCCAAATTCAGAAAATGCACTTTGAGTTGAAAGCTGCAAATGTGAGAATAGCAGCTCTAAAAGTTGAGGGCATGTGGAAGGTGTTACATCAGGAATAAAAGAATTTGACTAGAAATGCAGCCTGAAGCCATTATCATTACACTTCAAGAAAGCCAACCAGCTTCACCAAAGTATCAATGACAAACACATATAATCTTCTGTGTTTAACATCTTGAGGGTCATTCAGTGATTTTCACCTAGAGCTGATAAGTAACTGCAAGGGTTGGACCACAGCTTTGATCCCCGTAGGCTGAGAAATAAGACAAGCCTTTTCAGCATAAATGGCAGTGACCTCATAAGAAAAACCATGTGTTCCTAAAAGGTTGGCTCTCATAGCAGTGTTATTCACAATAGCAAGAAAGTAGAAACACCCTCAAATGTTCAACAAACAAATGGTTTGAGAAATTGTAGTACATTCACACAATAGAATACTATGCAGCACTAAGGAACAGCAATTTTAGAAAATACTTTATAGCATAGGAGAATCCAGAGAGCATTATGCTGATTGAACTGTCTCATAAGGACAAACACCAGTAGACCATTATTGTTAAAATATAAGGTCTTATTGTATAAGACTATAATTGTGAAAATATAAGGATAACTAGTAAGATGCTATTATAGGGGAAGGAGGATAGAGAATAGGGAAGGGAGGGAATCACTAGGATAATAGAATTCCATGAGTGGAGAAGGGCGGATCCTCTGAGAGATAAGGTATTAGGAATGTATTAGGTGAAGGTGTTAGCAAAGATCCGATGCACACCTGAAAAGATGGGGTAATAGTAGGCATACATCAATGGTGATTAATTTTATAAAACACAATATATATGAGTGATGGTCGAGAAATGCAGTGTACATGAGTGACACATTTTATATATATATATAAATGCAAACCAATATAACATAACAATGAAATGGAAAAAAGAAAAAGTAAAGGCTTGCATATAAATCCTCCAGATATTCCCCACTTGACTCACGGCCATCTCTAATCTAAAAGATCCAAAACAAAATTCCCAGTTTGTACTCAATTCCCTCCACCACCCTGTTCTGCTTGTCATAAAGCCTTTCCCATTTTATTAAAGATGGGAACTCTGCCCTACCATTCGCTTAGGTTAAAACCTTTGAGTCATCTTAGACTCTTCTTCCTCTCTGTTCATTCCATTACTAGTCTTTGAACAGAACTTAATTATTCTGATTTCAAAATCAGAATTGTCATAGTATGACCAGTTCTCATCACCTTTTTACCATTAATGCCTTGATCTAGCATCTTGTCTTACCAGGGCTATTGTCATAGCTTTCTTGCGTGTATCATGCCATAGGATAAAGGTGATTCTCATACAGCAACTGGGTGGTATTTTAAACTTAAGGGTGACTGTTCTGCTTTGATCAGAACTTTCCAGTGACTCCTTATCTCCCAGAGGAAAAGCCAAGAGAACACGTAATATTGCCTTACTTCTCCTCGGAGCTCGTTTCACTTCACTGCCTCCCTTGTCTACTCTGTTCCCTTCATACAGCCTTCGTGCTGTTTCTGATACACACGACGATCCTCTTGTCTCCATCCTTGATTCTTTGCACAGATTTCCTTAGTTTGTACTTAATTATTGTTGGCTCTATGCAGTTTGCTCTGATCTCACGTATTTTAAAAAACTTTTTATTGAGTGACTGTTATGCCCCTGACCCCATAGACTGTCCTCTCTCCCTTTCTCCATTTTCTGGTACCATTTCTCGCCTTTGAACTTGGTTTTATATTCCTCCTAAAAATTTGTTAACACCCATTGTTTTGTTATTGTTAGATACCTTTGATTAAATCACAACTTACAGCAACATTTTAAACAACAGACTGAATGTACAATACCACAATGAGGGTCAATAGCTTGTCTGCTTCATTCACTCAGGTCTCCCCAACATCTAGAGAATTATAAACGCCAAACCCCAAATTCATTGTTGTCAAGTTGGAGCCAACTCATAGCTGATCCTCCAGCAGGTTTTCAGAGGCTGTAAGTCACAGGGAAGGGGAACTGCCTATCTTTCTCCTGTGGAGCCATTGATGGATTCGAACCATCAGAGAGGCAGCATGCAGCCTCTCCAAGAGCTTAGCAGCCCAGCTCCCTACCAGCTATGCCACCAGAGCAGTGAATAGGTAATATTTGTTAAGAGAATGTTGAGAGATTGCAGATGAGAAATTTGAGCACCACTCTATAGAGTCTAGTGCTGCCACTGCCTCTCCCCCTGACCTTCAACCTCTGTTTTTGATGGTTGTGTAATTTGGAGAACTTCTTTTCATTTCTTTACCTAAACTATGAGGATCTTCATGAATTCCTTAATAAGATGTAGAAAAGACAAAATGAATTAATAGAGGTACAGTAGTTAGCATCTGGTAAGTTTTTGACACGTGTTAATAACACTTGTTTCTAAAGTAATTTTCAGGCATGTGGTAGGTAGATCATTCTCAGTACAGTCTCTAACAACCTGCATTGGAATCACTCGGGCTTTGTTTAAAATGTAGTTTCCTGGACTCCCACTCAGAAATCTGAGAAGGGGTCTGAGGGCAGTTTTACCAAGCTCTCTGAGTGAGTTTTTACAGGTTGCTGTCTTAGAACTTTTGACCAGAGGGGTGAGTAATGGGGAACAGGCTGGGGAACATTCCCCTTAAGCATGAGGATCAGGATGAGAGGGCCTCCTGATCTGTGGGTGTGCAAGAGTGATAAGTGAGATCAAGAAATGGGAACTGAGAAGAGAACTGGCCTTTTGAATTTTAAAATAGTCTTGTTCTGGAGAGAGCTTGCTCTGAGGAGAAAATGTGTTATTTTAAGATGATCTTGTTCTGAAGAGCTAATGTCTGTAATTATTTTCCTGCCCTTGGCAGCGGGATGTTCTATGATGGGAACCACACGTATCTCATTGAGCCAGAAGAAAACGACACATCCCAAGTAAGTGCTCCTTACAGTTGTAACAGAGCCTGGGAAAGGCGAATGCAAATGTTGATCCTGAAGGCTCTCTGACTTTCTTCCATCTACATTATTCCAATTTCATGTTTTGTGGGTGTTTTTTTTGGTTACTAATCTTTTCTTCACGTTTTTATTATTATTATTGTTGTTGTTGTATGCCCTCAGTCAGAACTGATCCATAGCTGCCCCCTAGCTGGTTTTCAGAGCCAGTAAATAGCACAGAAGGAGATTTCACAGCCTTCTCCCGTGGCACAGCTGGTACACTTGAACTGGAGGCCTGAGCTAGGTAGTAAATGATATTTTTAAAGAAAATAATCAATAAATTTAAAAAAACACCCAAAGTGTTATTTTGTTTGTTTTTGTTTTGTTCTGTCTCCAAGACTTTCTTTGCTGTTGCAAATATCTTTGTGTGTGTGTGTGTGTGTGTGTGTGTGTGTGTGTATTAGAGATGTACTGAAGCCACCGTTAATGTGTGGTCAGCACATTCATGTTCATATGACTTTTTAACTCTTCTTTACTTAATTGCAGATTTTTGTCTTACCTTTAAACCTTTGAGAACCTTGCTCTAATTGAAATATTATTTTTTTATGAATTAAAAATTTTCATTTTATGAATTGAGTTAATTTTACAGAGTACAGACACTTCCATTTTGTCTCTGTGCACACAAATGACTTTATCTTATGTCATGCAGCATTGGTCAAGCATAGAAACAAGCAGATAATTCCAAAGAACACACATTGTTTTGCCACCCGTAGTAATTGTGTGAGAACTCTGGTGGCCTAGTGGCGAGAAGCTCTGCTGCAATTCCAAAGGCATGTGATTCCAGGCCACCAGCTGCTCTGCTGGAGAAGAATGAGCTGTCTCCTTTGCAATTAACTGCCTCTGAAAACCCTCCAGAGGGTCAGCTATCGGTTGTTTTGACTCTATGGTATACAACAACAGCAACAAGCTTACCTTACAGGAAACAATCATCTGGTTTCCCTGGATGATTATCTGAATTCATAAAGCAGTTGTATTTGAGAACACTGTGTGTATATAGTATGGTATCTTCTAATGCACACTGCAGAACTGCAGACTCTGCTATTACAATGTGAATTTTTCAGATAACACAGAGTGTACCCATTTATGACATTAAAACAACAACAACTTAGTAACCTATATGAATCCAAGTGAAGTTATTTACACATTCCCTAAATTTTCCTAGGTTTAAAAATGCACCTACTTCTGGTTTTCACAAAACTCTGTATTACACTTGAGATTTATAAGAGGTTCCACTTTAGACACTTCCTGTGCCAGTCTTCCTTAGTTGTGAGGTCTACAGTCTGCCTCTCAAAGCCATTCGGCTCTTAAGAGGGGTATGGATGAGTGGAAAAGAACCACTTGTAAAAAAACATTGACACATCTTCCCAAATGTCTCACTTCTCCTTGGGGAACTGGTCCATTACTGCAGGCTTTGGCTTCTCAGTGTGTGAAGGCATTTTGCTTCCAATTGAATATCCCTTTGGTGGAAGGAGAGCCTACAGGAGGGAGTGGGAGTAGTCACACCATGGCTGCTCTCCACGCCTCTGCTCTCCAAACCCAGGAGAATGCGTAGTCAAATTAGTTCTTTAAAGGATCTCAGCTTCCCTGCTTCCATTGCCTGAAGCTGTGAGGCTGATGTTTAATCTGTAAGTCTGTTTGCTTGTAGATGCTTAATCTTTGTTGCTTATGTAATTTCAGGCGGATTTACGATTCCATTCCGTTTACAAATCCAGACTGTTTGAATTTCCTTTGGATGATCTTCCATCTGGTATGTTTTCATCAATGACTCACTTTTTAAAGGCACAACTTTAATAGTTCATTTTGATGCTTTGCCCATAGTCTATATGTGGACAATCATTAGCTTGTGACTTCACATGGGATAATCTACAAGGAAAATCAGATCACTGAGGTGGGGAACACAATGAAAATTGGCTTCATGGTACAGAGGATGAGTTTGGAAAGATGTGGATTGAGGACATGGAAAGGAAAAAATGTGGTTATGAGTCATTAATATATTTGTTGTTGTTACATGCTGTCGAATCACTTGTTACTCATAGCAACCCTGAATACAACAGCTCTGAACTCTGCTGTACCTTGGCTCTGACACACCTACCCCCATTACCCCAGTCACTGAGTCAATCTATCCCATCCAAGATCTTCCTCTCTTGCTCTGTCCCTCCCCACTTCCAAGCATGATGTCCCTCTCCAACGACTGGTCCCTCCTGGGTCCTTACTACTGTTGACAGTCACAGAGTTGGTCCCGACTTAAGATGACTCTGTTCACAGTGAGATCAGACTTTTGTAATCTGTAGCTTTCATTGCAGGTATTCAGAAGTACTTTGCCAGGCCTTTCTTCTTAGTCAGCCTTATCCTGGAAGCTCTACCTTGTAGCATCATACAACGTGCAAGTGCTCACTGACAGCAAAGGGGTGATTGTGTCAGGTGCAGAAATAGAACCCTGGTCACTCACATAGATGAATGCTATCATTGAACCACCAGGACCTTCCAAACTGAAATTCTCGTTCTCTCTCGTTACTATCGAGTTGGAACTGATTCCTAGTTGGTGGGTTCTCAGAGGATGTAAATCGCACTAAAGGAGATTGCCATCTTTCTCAGAGGAGCAGCTGGTGATGTCAACTGCCCACCTTTTTGTGTTGGCACCGCTGCTCCCTACCCACTAAATTATTGTTGTTTGGGTCCTTGCTGTTCCTCCCTGCCCTCCTCCACACACAAGTAAAATACTGATGGAGAAATAGTATTAGAACAACTTCTTGGTGAAGTACTGGCTCTGAAAACATGGGAATGAACAATTTAATCTCACTGGAGTTTTTGCCACAGTTTTTGGAGATCAGTATTATTGGCCCCATATTACAGATGAAAAGGCTGAAGCTTGGCCAGCTTGTCTTCTTCAGTGCCCCACACCTGATAAAGAACAGAGAGGGGGTTTGCGTTGTGGCACCAAGGGAATGTACCCTGGGAAAGAGAAACAGAGAAGGCGGAGAAATTACCAGCTAATTGAAGCAAGTCTGAAAGCACGCTTAAGAAAATAACTTAAAAGCTTATGTACCTCACTGGAAAAATGAAAGAAATGTTCTCTAATAGTCTTCCCTCTCTAAAATAACTATTAACTCCTTGACCTACTCCAAGTCCACTTAAGATAACCTCCTCACTTCTGCCCTGTTATCAAAGGGATAGAAAACATGATCATAGAAGTCATTATTTAAAAAGAAAATCAGCACATGATCACATAGATGCTCTTACTTGATTCAGACTCTCAGGTTACCTTATGAAACTTTTCAAATCTGTGTTGTGGGAAGAGAAGAAATCATGACCGAATGAATTGACAGTGTAAAAGGTGATAATGGAAACAATAAAAAAAATCAGTTGATACTTAAAGAAATAAAGGTTTCCCCTGGACGTTTGAAGGCAGGCTTACAGGTAAAACCTCATTTTATCTTTGCTTGAGTTTCTATTATGCAGAGCCTTTGGCAGTATTGGCAGCTGCGCTCTTTTGAAGAATAGTTTTTAAGGAGATTCTTACTTTGCAAAGCCAGCTCTACCTCAGTTTCTAGTTTTCTTTCTCATCAGGGTTGACATCATTGTTGTTGTTGTTGTTGTTATGTGCCATCGAGTCACTTGCAACTCATAGTGACCCTATGTACAAGAGTCCTAAATGCTGTTCTATCCTGTGCCAACCTCACTGTCTCAAACACACTCATTCCCACCACTCCACTCACAGACTTGATCCATCTCATCAAAGGTCTTCCTCTCCTGCACTGTCCCTCCACTCTGCCAAACATGATGTCCCTCTCCAAGGACCAGTCCCTGCTTGCAGCATGCCCAAAGTATGACCCCAGGGAGCATTCTGGCTTCACTTTCTCCAGGACAAACCTGTTTGTTCTCCTAACAGTCCATGGTATATTCAACTTTTTTTCTCCAGCACCACAGCTCAAAGGCATCAATTCTCTTTCTATCATCCCTATTCATTGTCCAACTATCTGATGCATAGCACGTAATTGCAAAGACTATCGGCTAAATCAGGTGCACCTTAGTCTCTAGCCTGATGTTGTTGCTCTTCAGTACTCTTGAGAGGTCCCTCACAGCTGACTTTCCCAATGCAATTCGTCTCCTGATTTTCTGGCTGCTGTTACCAAGAGTGACTGTGGAACCAAGTAAACTATAACTGTTAACTATCTCAATCTCTTCACCATCCATCTTGATGCTGCCATTGGTCCAGTGGTGAGAATCTTTGTTTTGTTGACGTTGAGCTTCAATCCGTATTGAAGGCTGCAGTCTTTGACCTTCTGCAGCAAGCACCAAGAAGCCAAACCTAAAGGAAGAAATAAAAAAAAAAATCAAAGAGCTGAACAGAAAATTTCAAAAGGCAGCTTGGGATGGCAAAGCAAGATACTATAATGAAATATGCAGAGAGCTGGAGTCAGAAAATCAAAAGGGCTGAACTCGCTCAGTGTTTCTTAAGCTGAAGGAGTTGAAAAACAAATTCAAGCCACAGGTGGCAATAATAAAGATAGTTTGTGTAGAATGTTAAATGATCCAGGAAGTATCAAAAGAAGATGGAAGGGGTACACAGTCACTGTATCAGAAGGAATTGGCTGACACAGAGGAATTTCATGAAATAACATATGAGCAAGAGCCTATGGTGATGAAGGAGGAAGTTCAAGTTGCTCTGAAGGAATTGGCAAAAAACAAGGCTCTGGGAGTTGACTGCATACCAATTGATTTATTTCAACAAACAGACACTGCCCTGGATGTGCTCACTAAGTTATGTCAGGAAATCTGGAGGCTAGCCAACTAGCCAACTGACTGGAAGAGATAGATATTTGTTCCCATACCAAAGAAAGATGACCCAACAGAGTGTGGAAATTATCGAACAATATCATTGATAGCACATGCAAGCAAGATTCTGCTGAAAATTATCCAAAAACATTTGGAACAGTATGTCAACAGAAAACTGCCAGATGTGCAGGCTGGGTTTAGAAGGTCGTGGTACTAGGGATATTATAGCTAATGTTAGATGGATCTTGGCAGAAAGCAGAGAATACTGGAAGAGTGTCCATCTGTGCTTCCTTGACTATGCAAAGGCTTTTGACTGTGTGGCTCACAGCAAGCTATGGCTGACTCAGAAGAATGAGAATCCCAGACCACTTGATTGTGCTAATGCGAAACCTATACTTGGACCAAGAGGCAGTAGTCAGAACAGAGCAAGGAGACACTACATGGTTCAAAATCAGGAAGGGGGTCCGTCAGGGATGACCTCACTAGACTGTCAGTTTTAAGATACATTTGTCTCCTAAGATGCTTAAGTTTACTATGATAAAGGAGAAGGAAACCAGAAATAGAAAAAAAATTTTAAAGTATCATTTTTATGACATAAGCTTAAAAGTATGTTTATTTTTTTATAGGTCAATTAAAGTAGAACTGGATTATCTATTAGGGATTATCAGAACTTTGTCTGCTATGCTTTGTGTATCTCTCACTGATACAGATAGAGGTACAATAGGTGCCTCTCCAAACTTGTTTCATTGTAACACCTTTTTAAATATTCACATCTCTTAGGACTGTTACATAATATAATGCGTTTTGGCTTATTTTTTTTTTTCTATGGACCTCTTCGTTGTTCAGAGCCAATTAAAAAAAAAGACATACCATTAGATGCGCAATGTTAACTGTACTATTTGAGTGCCCCTAGAGTCTTTAGTAATTTCTTTTCATTATTGTTCAAACTAGATATTTATTAATTACACTGATATCTCAAAAAATCAGCTTTCCTCTGTGTAATTTTTTTATCAAAAATTTTCACTTCTGTTTAACTTTTTATTAGTTTTCTAGCTTCAAGAATACCAGAGGAATGTCTATCTGTGTTTCATTGATTATGCAAAGGCATTTGACTGTGTGGATCACAACAAGCTGTGGCTAACCTTGAGGAAAATGGGAATTCCTGAACACTTGATTGTATTTATGTGAAACCTATACTTGGACCAGGAAGCAATCACTGCATGGTTCAAAGTTAGGAAAGGAATGCATCCTGTCTCCATACCTTTTCAATCTATATGCAGAACAGATCTTCTGGGAAGAAGGGCTTAATGCAGAGGAATGTGGCATCAGCATCAACAACCTACAATATGCAGATGGCACAACCTTGCTTGCTGAAACTGAAGAACCTGAAGCGTTTGCTACAGAAGGTCAAGGACTATAGTCTTCAATGTAAATTGAAGTTTAACAGCAAGCAACAAATATTGGCAAGGTTGTGGAGAAACTGGAACCCCTATTCACTGTTGGTGGAAGTGTAAAATGGTGCAAACACAATAGAAGGCAGGATGGTGCTTTCTCAAAAAGTTGCAAATAGAAATACCATTTGACCCAGCAATTCCACTACTGGGAATATACCCCCAAAGAAACCATAACTGCCACCCAAGCAGATACATGCACACCCATGTTTATCGCAGCTTTGTTCATAATAGCAAAGAGTTGGATAAAACCCAAGTGTCCATCAGCAAACAAATGGGTAGAAAAGCTGTGGTATATTCACACAATGGAATACTATGCTGCATTGAAAAACAAAGAACTCATGAAATATTATTCAAAATGGGGTTGACCTTGGAGGACATTATGCTGAGTGAAATATCTCAGTCACAAAAGGACAAATACTGCATAGTGCCACTTTGTAAAATGGGACCGACATTGAGATTGGGGGGAGACTGAGAAAGATGGGATAAATAATGTATACTGCATTGAAACAGATGAGGG